ATATTCTTCGGGTCTTTCGGTGGAGTCACGGAGATTAAAAGAAAATAACAAAAAACTGCGACGTTTCTATCGCAACACCAGCGGTAGCGATCAGAAAAAAGTAAGGGTTGTCACGTAAACAGAACGTGGCCAATTCGGCACTTGTACAGCACGCCAGTTGTGTTGGAGAGCCAAGCCACAACATTTACAATCTGAGTACGACGTTTCGCCAGTAATTACAACTAGCTTAATCAGGCGACAGCCATATATTTTTTAACGACACATTTATATATTTACGCGATCTGACCCCAGAAAAAAACCCTCTAGTATGGATATTGGTCGCGAAAACCTACGTGTTAAGCTGAGAATCAGAATATTTATTTATACTTGAGAGGAATCCGATGAGCCACAAAGCTCTAATTTTCCACAGATGTGCAGTCGTTCAGTCGTTCACAGACGTCCAACCATGAACCGCATCGGAGCATCAAGAGACCGATTGCGCTCTTCTACCTCCGTTGATGGATCATCACGAACACGAGCCGCGGTGGCGCGTGCGAATGCGGCCACGCAACCCAATCGATGGACCCCACGGCCACGCAACTCTTCAACGTGGGAGGCGCACCGGAAAAAAAGAAACCACGCGGGCCCTCTCCTGAAGCCCCCTCGTCATGGCAAAGCGGACCTCGATATTGGCATTCGGCTCCAGCACGTATTGCCATCATACGCAAGAGTGGCATTAGCAGTGAATATTTCGAACCGGTCCAAGGCATTTCCGTAGTTGCGGAGCGTGCAAACATCGACGGGGCCATTGACCGTGGAGACGGAGCGATGGAATCAACTCGTGGGGCAGTTACTGGGTGGATTAGCGCATCGCGTGATGGTGAGCGACGGCGACTTCGAGGGGAGGCCTTCGTCCAGCGGTGGATTGACCATGGCCGATGATGATAATGAAGAAGAGTCAATGACACGGTCAATATATTAACTTTTATTGGACACACACACACAAAGGTTATCCTTTTTACGTACACCAACAATAACTGTACGCGGTTCTTTCGGTAAAGTCACGTATATATATACTCGTATTATTGGTTCTTTCGGTAAAGTCACGTAGAAGGGAAACAATAAAATAAGAATATGAATCCCCTGCAGTCACGAAAACTTTAAATCTAAATATACTCGATTGTGTTGCGATCGAAACGTCGTGGGTTTTTAACTTTTATTATTTTCAATTCATTTTTATTTCTAATTTTATTTGACTATTTTTATTGTTTTTTTGCTTTTATTATTTTCAATTAATTATTTTTTATTTAATTTTAATTTGTATTATTTTAATTTTAAAAATGTATTTAAAAATATATATATATTTACGTGACTTTACCGAAAGAACCAAGAATATGAATTCCTGCAGTCACGAAATTTTTAAGTCAAAATTTATACTCGGTTACAGCCCTGACGATCCACTGCTGGATGGACGCCTCTCCACGCCGTGTCGGTCGTTGGAGTTTGACCATACTTCACCACGCGGGGAGGTTGCGCTAACCACTGCGCAAAGCCACCGCTCACTCCCTCCCCCCACTGCCCCTCCCCCCACCTTCATCCCCCCCCCCTTCCACACTGCCCCTACCCCCTTCCCGCCTCCCTCCTCCCCCCTCGGTCAATAAGTTTCCTATGGTCGATAAACTCACTTTTATTGCCCATAAAAGGAGACCTGTATTTGGAAAATGTTTCCATCTCACTCTAATTATCTCGATGAACCCAATTTCTGTTCTAAGCCATGCGTGCCCTATGACGTTTCGAGAAATGGCCCTTTTGCATAGCAGTCGTAACTCATATAGCAGAAACATTATTATCGCAGTGGGACCCTGCAATGCGCTATGACCCTGGCCACCTCAGTTCGATTCCCGAGCAGGGCTAACATCTGAACAGGCGCTGTCGCTGTACACTGCTTCACCAACTCGCCCTGATCAGCGTGGTGAAGTATGGTCAACATATCACCCACGAAAGAAAGGCATATGGAGGCCCTCATCCAGCAGTGGATTGACACATTATTGGACATAATTGCTGATACCAGCACTGCTTTATAGAGTTGGCTGACGTTTTGGGCTATAACCTACGGCCAGATCACCCTGAACGCGGCCGACCTCGTAGGATTTTGGACTTGGGCTGCGACGTGGCTGGGAAATGGCAATTCAGCAATTGGATTATTGAATCCATCTGTGCAGAGTTTTCAGCATTTACTCCCCCCCCCCCACCCCTCATAAGTGTGGCGGGTTTTTTCCAAGCTCTCCGATTTTCTCCCCAACACGAAGCCAAATGTCCTATTAATGGAATTGGCCAAAATTCCCAATATAGGGCGCTGCTGAAAATGAGTCTTGAGAGTCAGTTCGGCTCATCATCATTCTTGTCGTCATCATTTTCTTCTTCTTTCGCGTTGCAATGTGAAATGTGCAAAGGTTATCAGTGGATATCGAGGTTATTAAGCCATTCAGTGTAGGCCCCCGTGAAGGCTTGGCGCGCATACGTCCAGCAGTGGATTGACAAAACAAGAGCCATAATTGAATTGTTTCATTTTTGCCACTGAACAATCGTCGTGCGTTCTCTCTCACAGTGAACCCGTCGGTCACGCACGTGTACAGCTATCCATGCACGTGGCCTTGGACCGGAGCTGACAAGAGACGGCGCGTGGCCTGTGTATAACCGTTTGGAAGGAGTGGGGATATCAAGTAATCCACTCTTGTTAGCTGTATAAATAAATGGGCACCACTGAAGATGTGCACCCACAAACTCGCACAGAGACCCATTAACTCACACACAGAGACTCATGAACTCCTGCAGAGACCCGCAGACTCACAAGGAAACCCATACTCACACAGAGATCCATAGACTCGTCACACAGAGACCTATAGACTCACACAGAGACCCATATGCTTATCACACAAAGACCCATAGACTCGTCACACAGAGACCCATAGACTCACACAGTGGCCCATAGACTCCTCACACAGATACCAATAGACGTATCACACAGAGACCCATAGACTCATCATACAAAGACCCATACACTCACACAGTGGCCCATTAACTCACATAGAGACCCATATAACGGCACACTCACCCTGGAACTCAGGCTCAGAGAGAGAGAGAGAGCCTTAGACTTTTTGGTTCTTTCGGTGAAGTCACGTAGAAAGATTTTTTTTTATTTAATCTTATAATATTTTTAAATTTATTTGCTAAAGTCGGGAAAATCACGTAGCAAGAAAATAAGTTAAATAACTAAATATTATTTAATTTATTTTCTTTCTACGTGACTTTACCGAAAGAACCAAAGAGTAATTCCTGCAGTCACGAAAGCTTCAAATCAAGTCAGAGAGCCTTAGACTCAGTATCTCCCACCAGCAGCTCTTTGGTCTTCTCTTCCCCCCGCCCTTGCACTCGCTCACTCACTCAGTAACAGCGCAGTAATACAGCATAGAGATTTATTTTAATTTTAATGGGGACCAAAGTCTTAGCATCAGACGGACGAACACAGAGAGAGAGAGAGAGCGCGCGATATTTTCAAAGTCTGGTTGCATGTAGTCATGTAAACACATAGGCAGATACCCACTCACACACACGTTTATACACCAACACACACGCACATGTGCGCACGCATAGACACACGAAGATCTTTACAGACACGCGCGCACACGTATACACAAGCAAAAAAAACCACACACACAAGCAAACACACACACACACAAGCAAACACACACACACAAGAAACACACACGTACTCACACGCACACACTGAGGCACAGATGGGCGCACGACGCGCACAACGTGGCAATAGGTGAAGGAAACACAAACACGGCGTGTTTATGGCGTCTGAATGTGTGTGTGTTTGCCTGCCTTTGTCTTTGTGTGTTTGTGTATGTCCGGGTGTACGTATGTACTTAGTTGTGTGTGCACGCCTGTGTGTCTGTATATATATGTCTCTGTGTTTATGTATGTGTATCTGCATGTGTGCATGTGTCGTTAATGTGCTCCTTTGTGTGTGCGCGTGTATGTGTGTGCATCTCTGTCAGTACGTGTGCATCTACGTGGTGTTTAGTTTGTGAGTGTGTCTGTGTGTAGGACTGTGTTTGGTGTGTAGGTTTAGGGGGTCTGTATGTATGTATCGGTATGTATGCGTGTGTGTGTGTGTCGACACATCAGCGACGATTATCTGAACTGGTGCTGGGCCTCCCCTAGGTCGACTCAGCCTCAAATGAGTGCCCGGTGCGAGGTGTAAACATCGCCACTGGGGAGACGAATGCGGTCGGGCGTGGTGCCGGCCACCCACGTGTGCCGTGCCGGTCTTTACAGGTGCTCGCTCACAGCACTTGCCCCCAACAGTCTGTGATGCCTATACGGGGGATCTTTGTCTTTGTGTACACACGTATATGACTGTGTGCAGTCCAGTGGTTCGATTCCCACTCACGACCAATAACAGCTACAGCGAATATCTGAACCGGTCCTTGTATTCGATTTGCTGTCTATGTAAGTAGGAATACTATTTCATTGTCGAACAACGTCTCATAAGCGTTTTATTTACAACCTTTAATATTGAGCGTGTTATTTAAAACATATGTCTGGAAATAAAATTATTAAGAGAGATATACTCAGCATCAATAATCACGACAACGATATTTTTTCCCCCCCAAAAAAACCGGACGATACGATTATCGGTAAACATTGTATTTATTTATCGTGCCATATATCGTAGTCGTGGAGTCCTTTCGCTGCAACCCGAGCGGTCTACGCGGGTGTTGTGTATCAGTGGTGTAGCGATGGAGCGCGCAGGGGCCCGTGGGTTGGAGGAGCCGAGGCGCGCGTGTGTGGTTTGTGTTTGTCAGTGGGGAGCGGTGGTGTAGCGGTTAGCGCTACGCTGCGCGACGAACCCGGCGAACCCGAGTTCGATTCTCGCTTCACGGCCAACGACACCGGTGGCGATTATCTGAACCGGTCCTGGGCCTCCCCTAGGTCGACTCAGCCTCAAACGTGTACCACTCGAGAGACAGGCGGCCGGGCGTGGTGCAGGATACTCACCCCCTCGTGTGCCGTGTCTGCCTTCATAGGTGCTCGCTAACAGCACTTGCCTCAATAGTATGTCCAGGCTATACGGTGGAACCTGTGTCTTTGTATTGATCACAATTTGCCACTCTATGTCTCGGAAATCTGGTGATGATGGTGGTGGTGCTGGTAGTGATGATGCTGGTGACTGTGATGGTGGTGATGATTTGCGATGGTCATGTTTGTGGTGCTGGTAGTGATGGGGATGCTGATGGTGGTGGTGCTGGTAGTGATGATGCTAGTGATGATGTGGTGATAATCGCGGTAAAGTATAATTAGCGTTAATGCTGGTGGTGCCGTTGGTAGCATTGGTATTGATGACAGTGATGATGGTGACGACGATGATGATGAGACGGGGGACATGGGGAGGAAGGGAGACGTGATTAGGAGGGAAGGGGGTCTCAGAAAAGGGGAGACAGATGAGTAGTGCTTGGGGCGTGGTGGTGTGGACTCATCTGACGAACAGGTTTGACGCGTGTGTATGTGTGTGTGTATATGCACGTGCACGTGTGTATGTATGCTCGTGTGTCTTGGCGCGTGTGTGCGCTCAAGGGTAGAGGCAGTCCCGTGAGTCGAGGGTCAGGTAGACCTCCGCCTTGCACTGCAGAGTGGCCGGGAGCTCGGACAGGGGCTCGCAGCTCTGCAGGTACGGGGTCACGTCCTTCACGCAGATGCCCTGCGCGGAGGGAGCGGCACAGGCACACAGATATACACACACGCACACACACGCACGCACACGCACGCACACGCACGCACACGCACGCACACACGCGGTACATACGCGATAGCCTTAACGGACTGTTGGGGAAAGTGCTGTAAGCGAGGCCGACGCGACTCGCGAGAGGGTGGGTGGCCGGCACCACCGCTCCCCAGAGAGCGATGTGGACACTCATTTGAGGCTGAGTCGACCTAGGGGAGGCCCAGGACCGTTTCAGATGATTGGGAGGCCGGGATCGTGTAGCACAGCGCACGAAGTGCTACACTACCGCTCCTCAACATGTGCATATATAGACACACTGGTGTATATATAGGTATATGCACGAGGTACACGGGTGTATATACATACAGGTACATACACACACCGGTACATGGGTGCACAGACTATAGAGTCAAGTGCTGTTAGCGAGCACCTGTGAAGGCACGGCGCACGAGGGGGTGGGTGCCAAACACCACGCCCGGCCGCCTTTGGCTCCCCAGTGGCGATGTTTACACATCGCACCAGGTACTCATTCTGAGGCTGAGTCGACCTAGGGGAGGCCCAGGACCGGTTCAGATAATCGTCACTGGTGTTGGCCGTGAGCGGGAATCGAACCCGGGACGCCAGGTCCGTAGCGCAGCGCGCTAACCGCAACACTACTATATACACACGGACACATGCAGATACATACACGGGCACTCCGATACGGACACGGCTACGTACACAGGCGCATGTACGTATACACACAGGCACAAGCAGACATCCATTAGGCTCTGTGTTTTCACATGCCAGTCAATTAAATAAATCAATATACACGTTTAGCCCATGGGCATATTGGCTCTGCAGACGTGTGTATGTTGAACTTCTTTCGCACCGTACGTAGGCAACCGCGCTGATCGGAGGCCAACATTAACCGGCAGCAGTTTGTTTAACCCGAAACCAACCCCGGGACGCTTTTAAGCCTCTGGGTCTCATCAGGCTTGTGGAACTGCCTGCCAGCGGATCTGAGGGCTTCGCAATCTTTTAAAACTTGCTTTTACTTAAGATTATTTTTTATAGTGTGAGATTTTTTGATATCCCTTCGATAGCAAATTATTATAATGCAAAATAGTTTTGTATGGAAATAGCTTTTATTGTTCTTGTGATTTCGTATTTTTACAATGTTTTCGTTAATCTGCACAGCACTTTGAATTGCATATTTTGCACGAAATAGTGCTCTAGAAATAAAGACACCTGTGACACACTGTGTGAACCGACCCACGCCTGTACACACGCCTGTACACACGCCTGCAAACACCGACGCACATATGTGCACACATTTGTACACACATATCCACACCTGTACCCACACCTGTACACACCGTTCCACGGCTGTACGTATGTATGTTGAACTTCTTTCGCGCCGTACGTAGCCAACCGTGCTAATCGGAGGTGCGCGGGAAACGATAAGGAACTAAACAAAAAAAAGCAGTTATTTTTTTAAACACACGTGTACACACCAACCTACGCCTGTCAACCCACCTGTACACGCCGACCCACGACTGCACACACACTCACTCACACCTGTACACACCGACACACGCCTGCACACACACACGCACACCTGTACACAGCGACCCACGCATGCACACACGCACACCTGGGCACACCCACACACGCCTGCACACACACTCACACGCACACCTGTACACAGTGAATCCACGCATGCACACTTACACACCTGTACACACCGACAAACGCCTGCACACTCACACACACACACACCTGTACACGCCGACCCACGACTGCACACACACTCACTCACACCTGTACACAGCGACCCACGCATGCACACACACACGCACACCTGTACACACCGACACACGCCTGCACACACACTCACACCTGTACACAGTGAACCCACGCATGCACACTTACACACTTGTACACACCGACACACGCCTGCACACACACTCACACACACACCTGTACACGCCGACCCACGACTGCACACTCACACACACCTGTATACAGCGACCCACGTCTGTACTCACACACACCTGTATACAGCGACCCACGCATGCACACACGCACACCTGTACACACCGACCCACGACTGCACACACACACTCACACCTGTACACACCGACCCACGCCTGCACACTCACACACACACACCTGTACACACAGACCCACGCCTGCACACTCACACACACACACCTGTACACACCGACCCACGCCTGCACACTCACACACACACACCTGTACACACCGACCCACGCCTGCACACTCACACACTCACGCACCGTGCCGCGCCCAGCGCTGCCCACGCGCTTCGGATGCTGCTGCATGAGCACGGGCAGAAGGTTGCGCACCAGCTCCACGCCCTCAGCGTCCGCGATGCCCCGAGCCGCCACCACCGCCGCCGCCGTCTCCTCGTCATCGTCGGGCATCGCCGCCGCCGCCGCCGCCGCGCCTCCGGCTTCGCCGTCCGCGGGGGGCAGCGAGCGGCGCGCGAACGGCGAGCGGCGGATGCCGGAGAGGAGGCCCGAGGCGCGTCCCACTGAGTAGTAGCTAGGACCGGTGGCCTGTTTGTACCACGCCTCGGCCGGGTCGGCCACCAGAGTGGCCAGCACCAGGCACGCGAGGGTGGCCGCAGCGCTAGCAGGTTTCATGGTGTTTCGAGAGATGATGCCGATGGTAAGTTGGTGGTGGTGGTGGTGGTGATGCGGCTGCTGTTTGGTGGTGGTGGAGGTGGTGACAGCGTCTGCTCGTGGTGGGTGCGGTGGTGGTTTGTGGCGGTGGTGGTTGGTGGCGGTGGTGCTAATCTCTGTCAGTGGTTGGTGCGAAGGGCTGTAAGCCCCGTGCCTTATAAAGGGGGATTTGAGAAAGGGGGTTGACGTCATGGGCGAAATTGTGAGGGGGGCATGGTGCTCGCCGCCTACCCATCCTCCTACTCATCTTCCTACACTGCTCATCATCATCCTCCTGCTCATCATCATCGACCTCAAAGCCCCCCCCCCCCACGCTCCCACCCACTTAACTGAATTCTCAACAACATCACACTCATACAAGCACCTCATCGTCGTCCTCCTCACCATCATCATCATCGGCATTGCTTCACGCTCACACCTCCCTCCCTGCCTTCTTTCTCAACCCTCATCCTCCTACTCGTGCACCTCCTCCTCATCATTATCAACTTCATCTCCGTCAGCTCCCCCATCAACTTCGTCTCGAGGTTTGTACCTTGCACGCAGCTTCGTGTACAGCGGGATACGTTTTACTCGCTTCAATCATTTAATTACCCCGTGATAATAATAAAAAAACACAGACCCCCAGTTTACGGTATGTGCAAGTGTCTACATATTAAGTGTTGCGGACACACGTATGGGCGTCGCGTGTCGGAGCACCGGGTCTCTATCCACTGCTGGATGAAGACCTCCTTACGCAGTGTCCAATGATATTGGTCTAACTCCACTGCTGAATGAAGACCTCACGCAGTGTTCATTGATATCTGTCTCAATCCACTGCTGGATGAAGGCCTCCTCACGCAGTGTTCATTGATATCTGTGTCTCAATCCACTGCTGGATGAAGACCTCACGCAGTGTTCATTGATATCTGTGTCTCAATCCACTGCTGGATGAAGACCTCACACAGTGGTCATTGATATCTGTCTCAATCCACTGCTGGATGAAGGCCTACTCACGCAGTGTCCATTAACATTTGCCTCTCAATTTGGTTTTTCAATTCATGATAAAATACCAGCTTTGCTATTTAAACCTATCGTAGGTATTATTGACGGTGCTACTAACAACGTTCACTGCAGGTTATATGCAGCGGTGTTAAAGAGGCGTAATAGTGTTCATTTAGCGTTTTCTTCAGGTGCTGTTCTCTGACACAAAGAGGTGCACTGCTTACTGCAAGGGGCCCAATGGAGAATGTCTTCAGCTCGCGACTCACCACCCCCTGTCTCCCTTACATCACAACCCCTGTCTCCCACACCAACCCCTGTCTCCCACACATCACAGACCCCTGTCTCCCTCACCACCCCCTGTCTCCCTCACCAACCCCTGTCTCCCTCACATCATAGACCCCTGTCTCCCACACCACCCCCTGTCTCCCTTACATCACAACCCCTGTCTCCCACACCACCCCCTGTCTCCCTTACTTCACAACCCCTGTCTCCCTCACCACCCCCTGTCTCCCTCACCACCCCCTGTCTCCCTCACATCACAGACCCCTGTCTCCCGCACCCCCCCCTGTCTCCCTTACATCACAACCCCTGTCTCCCACACCAACCCCTGTCTCCCACACATCACAGACCCCTGTCTCCCTCACCACCCCCTGTCTCCCACACCACCCCCTGTCTCCCTTACATCACAACCCCTGTCTCCCACACCACCCCCTGTCTCCCTTACTTCACAACCCCTGTCTCCCTCAACACCCCCTGTCTCCCTCACCACCCCCTGTCTCCCTCACATCACAGACCCCTGTCTCCCTCACCACCCCCTGTCTCCCTTACATCACAACCCCTGTCTCCCACACCAACCCCTGTCTCCCACACATCACAGACCCCTGTCTCCCTCACCACCCCCTGTCTCCCACACCACCCCCTGTCTCCCTTGCATCACAACCCCTGTCTCCCTCACCACCCCCTGTCTCCCACACATCACAGACCCCTGTCTCTCTCACCAACCCCCCCCCCCCCCCGTTGCCACCCCGAGCCGAGCCGCTGCGCGTCACCCGTCAGCCAACAACTTCCTCTCATCTCCCCGTCGCTGCGGATCGATCCCAATAAATTATCTTCGGCATCGCCATCCGCGCCGTGAGTGACGTGGCCCGTAATTTAATAATCGGGCCAGGGCGAGGCGAGTGGGCGACCCGGCGGAGAAAAATAGAAATGTCCACGTCGAGACAGTGGAAGGAAACAAAATAAATAAATGGCATCACCCAACAACAACAACAGCAACAACAGCAGCAGCAGCAGCGTCGTAACCAATCGCAAAGAAAGTTTGGAGATCTAAATAAAATTATTAAAACACACGTGTTTTACTTGCATAGCAAAGCCATTGTATTTTTTCACTTGCTACACAGCCAGATAATACGACAAATCGCTAACCTTAAACAGCCAGTCGTTCGTAAAAGTTGAAGGCGGTATAGTACTATAGTAATAGATCAAGTGCAGAATCACTGAGCCGGAATTGATAGCTTGAAATAATTTAGCGCGGGGCCCTTGAAAGTGCGGGGCCCGTAGCTACATATGTACAGTGAGGGAAACAAGTATTTGATCCCCTGCTGGTTTTGTACGTTTGCCCACTGACACAGAAATGATAGTCTATAATTTTAATGGTAGGTTTATTTGAACAGTGAGAGACAGAATAACAACAAAAAAATCCAGAAAAACGCATGTCAAAAAATGTTATAAATTGATTTACATTTTAATGAGGGAAATAAGTAGATGACCCCTCTGCAAAACATGACTTAGTACTTGGTGGCAAAACCCTTGTTGGCAATCACAGAAGTCAGACGTTTCTTGTAGTTGGCCACCAGGTTTGCACACATCTCAGGAGGGATTTTGTCCCACTCCTCTTTGCAGATCTTCTTGAAGTCATTAAGGTTTCGAGGCTGAAGTTTGGCAACTCGAACCTTCAGCTCCCTCCACAGATTTTCTATGGGATTAAGGTCTGGAGACTGGCTAGGCCACTCCAGGACCTTAATGTGCTTCTTCTTGAGCCACTCCTTTGTTGCCTTGGCCGTGTGTTTTGGGTCATTATTATGCTGGAATACCCATCCACGACCCATTTTCAATGCCCTGGCTGAGGGAAGGAGGTTCTCACCCAAGATTTGACGGTACATGGCCCCGTCCATCGTCCCTTTGATGCGGTGAAGTTGTCCTGTCCCCTGAGCAGAAAAACACCCCCAAAGCATAATGTTTCCACCTCCATATTTGACGGTGGGGATGGTGTTCTTGGGGTCATAGGCAGCATTCCTCCTCCAAACACGGCGAGTTGAGTTGATGCCAAAGAGCTCCATTTTGGTCTCATCTGACCACAACACTTTCACCCAGTTGTCCTCTGAATCATTTAGATGTTCATTGGCAAACTTCTGAGGGCTTGTATATGTGCTTTCTTGAGCAGGGGGACCTTGCGGGCGCTGCAGGATTTCAGTCCTTCACGGCGTAGTGTGTTACCAATTGTTTTCTTGGTGACTATGGTCCTAGCTGCCTTGAGATCACTGACAAGATCCTCCCGTGTAGTTATGGGCTGATTCCTCAGCGTTCTCATGATCATTGCAACTCCACCAGGTGAGATCTTGCATGGAGCCCCAGGCCGAGGGAGATTGACAGTTCTTTTGTGTTTCTTCCATTTGCGAATAATCGCACCAACTGTTGTCACCTTCTCACCAAGCTGCTTGGCAATGGTCTTGTAGCCCATTCCAGCCTTGTGTAGGTCTACAATCTTGTCCCTGACATCCCTGGAGAGCTCTTTGGTCTTGGCCATGGTGTAGAGTTTGAAATCTGATTGATTGATTGCTTCTGTGGACAGGTGTCTTTTATACAGGTAACAAGCTGAGATTCGGAGCACTCCCTTTATGAGTGTGCTCCTAATCTCAGCTCGTTACCTGTATAAAAGACACCTGGGAGCCAGAAATCTTTCTGATTGAGAGGGGGTCAAATACTTATTTCCCTCATTAAAATGCAAATAAATTTGTACAATTTTTGACATGCGTTTTTCTGGATTTTGTTGTTGTTATTCTGTCTCTCACTGTTGAAATAAACCTACCATTAAAATTATAGACTGATCATTTCTTTGTCAGTGGGCAAACGTACAAAATCAGCAGGGGATCAAATACTTTTTTCCCTCACTGTAGCTACTTGTGCTACTAGGATAATCCGGCACTGCTTGCGTGTACTGTCTAAGTATTTTTCATAACGCATTCTTATTTAGTTCCTGCAGGTATTATTCTTTAGAGACGGCCACAATCATTGCCCCCCCACTACCCCCCCCAACCCACTACCCCCTCCCCCAACCCACCACCACCCCCGTGCAAGCGTGGCAGGTGCAGCCGAATCCAGCTCCATCGCAACCAAGGACGGATTTTTCGTGCGGCCCGACATGATGATGATGGTGATGATGATGATCCATTGGCGATTGCATCGTGTGGGGCAAATTGTTACCATGGAGGCCCGAGCAGGCTCGGGCAGGCAGAGGCAGAGACAGAGAGAGAGAGGGATATTAGGTGTCCTCGACAGGTGAGCAGGAATACGTCGGAGGGACGAGAGCGACCTTGACGCTGTTGCGGGCCGTGCTTGCGGCAGATTTGATGGCGCGCGTGACGCGCTAAACCCGCCGGCGGACGAAATTAGCGAGTAGCGCTCGCTCGAAGAACAAAACACGGAGTCACGAAGAGGTCATTGAGACTCTGGTGGCACGGGGCCCCCAGCGGGGATGGCAAGGCAGGTGTGTGGGGTGTGTGGGGTGTGTGGGGTGTGTGGGGTGTGTGTGGGGTGTGTGGGGTGTGTGGGGTGTGTGGGGTGTGTGTGGTGTGCGGGATGTGCGGGGTGTGTGGGGTGTGTGGGGTGTGTGGGGTGTGTGGGGTGACTTCGAGTCTCAAAGACGGGATGTAGACGAGGGAAGCCGGTAAGCTGGCCAGAACTTTCCAGAACAATACGACATAGGGCGGCAGGCTGGCACGGTGGCGAGGAGATGTTAACTACCTCGCGTGGTATACAGGATGTCGTGAGTTCGATCCCGACCCTGACGCCTGCTGCTGTATATTTGGAGTTTGCATGGTCTCTCTCTCTCTCTCCCCACGGTCTCGTGGAATATTCTCCAGGACCTCCGGTTTTTCCTTCCACA